GGTCAGATAAACAGAACAACTGAGTAAGCTGGGCTCATAAAGTCTATAAACTGGACCAGTTATTACCAGATTCTTCACACTCGTTCCCTTGGTTCTTACCGCTGGCATTGCTTATCCTTAAGCTTGTGTTTAACATCCACAAAAATCACTCCCGGAAGACATAACATACTTCACCTGAACCTTCTCACAGTTTAATGAAAACATTTGAAAAAACGGTTTTGAAAAATAGTCGCATTAGCATAAGTATTACTACTTTAATTATTCTGGCTTAAAACTCCTAAAGATTTCTTATTCTTAAAATAACGGCAACAGCTCCAGTAATTAAAAGCTGCAAGTAGGCAGTTTATTTGGGCTTCTTCTGTCAAAGAGAGCCAAAAAATGAGAATAGCAGCCCTTATCCTCCCGCTCCTCTCCTTCTGTCTTAACCCTTCCCAGACATTTTCCCCGCTTCCTTTGTGTATTCCTTTTGGTGACACATTCCACGTGTGATTGTGAGGACTGACCGTTGAGCGGTCCCGACCAAGCAAGTGGAGGCAGACGGCAGAACGTCCAAAAATACTAACCGGGGTGTGGGCATTTATTAAAGACATTACACAACAGCTATCCTGCTGCTGCTGTTTCACGTCGAGCCCAGCCTGCCAGCCACCAGGTCTTCACACACCAACTACCAGCTCTCAAGACACAGCATCCTAAATACACACACAGACTAACAAGACACAGGGTGTATGGGGGAGGCAGATTAGACACAGGTGAGGGTTTGAGGAGTAACACAGGCACCAGTGTGAGACAAATCGGATAATCCAACAGGAGGGAACCACAGAGACGACCGGAAACAACAGAACAAGATGAGGGGGTGAAACTGTATATAATTAATGCCATTTAAGTAAATAGCAGTGAACGGCGGTGCTGTCGTTACCAGTGATCGTAATTATTCAAATTCTGCCCGTTGTTTTTGCCAACATGTATTTGTAAAGCCCTTTAAGATACTGTGTCTAGCAAGGGCTCTAGCTGAGATGACAATAGCGGCTGTTGCTGATAGTTTTACCGTCTCATGTTGAATGTTTTGACTGTCTGTTATATTTAAATAGCTCTTTTACTGGACTTTTTAGTGTACAGGTTTTACTATTATGCTGCTGTGTTTATTGTATTTTGTAACTCGTCTTATCTTAAAGCTGACTAACCGCTCAAAAGCACCTCACCTCCATCATTATGAAGTGCTTTGAGCAGTTAGTCAAACCTTCATCACCTCCTCCTCCCCTGACTCTCTGGACCCCCTGCAGTTTGCCTACAGAGCCAAACAGGTCCACAGACGACGTCATAGCCCTCACCATCCACACTGCCCTCTCACACCTGGACCAGAGGAACACATATGTGAGAATGCTGTTCATTGACTACAGTTCAGCCTTCAATACCATTGTGCCCTCCAAGCTGGTCATCAAGCTCAGAGACCTCGGGCTCAACAGCGCCCTCTGTGACTGGATCCTGAACTTCCTGACGGGCATACCCCAGGCTTCTTCCTCCTCAGGCTGAGGAGGTTCAACATGGACTCCAGGATACTCTGCAACTTCTACCATAGGTAGAACCATAGAGAGCATCCTGACCTTCTACAGGTGCACCATAGAGAGGATCCTGACTGGCTGCATCACGGCCTGGTACGGCAGCTGCACCGCCCTCAATCGTAAGGCTTGACAGAGGGTGGTAAAAACTGCACAGAACATCACCAGGACAGAGCTGCCATCCATGGAGGACCTTTACTCCCAGCGGCTCAGGAAGAAATCCCTCCGGATTATCAAAGACCCCCATCACCCCAGCCACAAACTGTTCAGTCTGCTGCCGTCTGGCAGGCGTTACCGAAGCATCCGGACTAAAAGCACCAGACTCAGAGACAGTTTCATCCCACAGGCAATAAGACTGCTTAACAACTGAACTGCTGAAACAACATCCATAACATTCATCTGCTACTTAGCAATTATTTGTCTATTTTCTAATATATCATTCCAATAATTTTCGAACTATTTTTATTTTGTATTTACTATATTACTATTTACTTGCACTATATTTTTCTGTTTCTGTGTTATTGTGTTGCACTGTTGGAGGAGCCTGTGACCTAAGAATTTCATCGGCATAACTACTCTGTAGCTATGTTCGTAAGACAAAATAAAGAACCTTGAACCTTAAAGCTCAACTATTCACCACCACTTTCCTGATAATGTCCAACTATTTTTGATGTGCGTCTTATTTTGGGGGGGTTCCTTTGAAGTGTTAAAAATTATGACATTATGCCGTTTATTGTTTTCACCATCTTAAAACAGCGTTTGCAAAAATGCCATAGTAAAGACTTCTTTGAACCTTCTATAAAAACGTTACCACAGGTGTTTAAGTATAGCTTTCTCCTAGATATTTAATGTACAATGATGCCAAGAATAAGCTGTGTACCCCAGCTTTAATTTGAAAGGCTTTTATATTGGGTTTGCCATCATTGTTACAACCATAGTGAATAAGGACAGGTATTGCTACAAATATGAACTTTTAACAATTAAAAAGGGAAGAAAAATGTATGTATATAAACTGGAAATACATTCATTCAACATTTCAACAGCCTGATCACCTAGGAGCTTTAGAACACAGTTTGACTATTTGCTATGATCTCTTCATTTTCTGATCAATATCTCTGGATGGCTTCCATCTACGACACACTAACCAAACCCATAATTATGTTTTAATCTAGTCATGTATCACAAGGCGACTTTCATTCAACAACAGATCCTCCTGCTGTAACGGTGGACAGTAGATATCTCCCTTGGTTTTATGAAGTGTCTCTCTTTAATGTGTCCCTCTCCATCAGGAAGCTTTATCCTCCCCTCCTGTAACAAAGAGGTGAACAGTCTTGTTGGAGTGCAGCATCTGTCCGGCTCGCTGCACTCCAGAGATGGCAGCTAACTTGTGGGCATCGTAGCGGGAGTAGAGGGCGGTGCAAGTCCAGCTGGCCTCCTCCCCCCGACCCCCCGCTGCCAGCATGTTACACACCTCGCTGTAGAAGTGCGGGTAGGAGGGCAAGCCATAAAATATCAGGTTCTGGATCCCTTTGATGGTATACCTAAATAAAAAAAATGGAGAAAGCAGAGTTTAAACGTTACATTTAAAACGTTTTTCATATCACAGACTGTCTGTTATGTCTGTGTAACAGGTATTCAATTACAGTTCTTCAAAGATATTTTTACAACACTTCAACAAGTACTTTCCAACTGTAGGAAGCAATCATTTCTGATTATTGCTTCCTACTGATATAAATACAGTAAACAGTGTTTAGTGTATACAGTTTCTCTCCTACAAAAATGGGCATAAGAGGGCCTCTTTAAGAAAGAAAAAGGATATCTGTAATAAGGCCTTCAGATACACAGGAAATCACCAGGAGTGTTACAACACCTAGTCAAATCATGATTCTATCAGAATACCTTCAGAAACATATGAAGAACAACAGAATTACGATGTTAATTTGTCTCATTAAAAAAACGTATTAGTGTTTTTAATAACAATTGACTACAATAAAGAAACAAAAGACAGTGACAGTCATTTCCAAATGACATGAGTAAAACAGATATGATTGGATTGAACTCCACACATAAAGTAAGAGGTCCCTGAACTCTTTAAAAGGAATGACATCTGTTATTCATTTGTTAGGGCAACAAGTGATGTTTACTCTTTTCAACAGTAATAAAGTTAACAGTCTTTGACACTAGCACGGTCACTTTGACCGTTTTCAAATGTTTTATGTGCAATAACTTAAAAACTAAAGATAAGGGTGCATCTTCATTGCTTAGCAACTATCATGTATCCATCAAAAGATATCGCCGGCAGTCCCAAGTGCTGTTTGTATATGCTCATGCTCATCAGTACACTTATTGTTAAGGCTATCAGTTTATAAAAAGAGCTGACCTCTTGTAGAAGTGGAAGCGTTCTGTGAAGAGCAGGAACTGATGATCTCCTTTCTGGAAGAAGTGTCGGGCTCGTGACACCTCCGACTTGCTTGAGTACTCGCAGATGCTGGCGAAGTTGATCTCCTCTTTCTTCATGTGGTTGCGCAACCGGACGTAGTCAAAGTAAGACGGGACGTAGATCAGCGTGTGGGACATAACAGAGTCCCTGTACTGAGGCAGCACTTTATCTAAAAAGAACTGAAACCTACGGGCAGGGTGGGGAACAGCGGGAATAAAACAAGAGCTTTATATTTTGTTCGGATGAACCGAGCGATTGTCGGATTCAAATGTCAGACCAAAAGATGTGCTCAAATAAAGGAGCTGAACATTTACAGTAAAATTACTGTATTAGTTGTTTTTCCTTGTTTAAAAAAAAGGGCATTATAGTAAATTATATAATTTTCTATGATTTTTTTATCTGGTATTACCCACAAAGTCCTTATATTCACATTACTGATGATTGTTTATCGAAAACCTCATTACAAAAACCACCAACCCTACAATATTGTTGCAATATCCATATAGAGGTATTTCGTAACAAAATATATTGGGTCTAGGATAAGATCAATATCGCACAAATCTATATCTTAACTTAGCAGGTACGTTTAGTTTTTTTTAGCATCAGAAATATCCTGTGGCAGCTGTCTCTTTAACCATGGAAACAAGAGCTGCTAATTGTCACACATTTACTGGTGTCAGGGTAAAAGTGGTAGTCTACTGTGTTGCTCAATGAATCAATGGCCACATGATATTTACCGTGAAGCATATCAAAAACCCTGGTCTATCTCATAGAGACCACACTTGGTCAGGCATTAGGTTATTGACCAGTTTACCGTGCATCATGGTCCATGAAGCTGTCGGAGGGGAACATCTGGAACACGTGAGGCAGCTGAACCAGCACCTGGCAGATTGAGCCAGTTTCCGGCATGTTCTTGGTCGCAATCTGTGAGTTAAAAAAAAGAGGGAAATCAACTTTAAAATAACCAACATAATCGAATTGCAGTGCAGAAACCAGGGATTTCTTCAGATATCCAGGGCCCAGGAGTTCAAAACTTTTAATCCCTATCTGATATGATCAGATTTGGATTTTGGGGAGTTCAAAACCAAAAAACAGGATTAGGATCACTTTCATATCCGATCAGATCAGGAAATCCAATCCAAGCTTTAATGTGGATCAAATCTTCAAA